TTTTCACCAGCCCAGGTACTTTTCTATGTCCGTTCGAGGACGATTATTTGTTATAGAGGTGGACAATGTGATGACCCGATAGGTAATTTATAGTTTTAACCCTTAATTTTGTGTTTTGAAATATCGAATAGCTCCGTTTAGACTTCCTCGATTTGCATCTGCATTCTGTGTCTTTTTTTGGAAGATTTTAATGTGAAAAATTAATTAAAAAATGTGATAACGCACTTTAAAAACTTATTTGAGTTGACTTCAGTCAACGTTTTAAGCAAACGGACCCGTATCAGTATTTTGATGGTCCGCTGAGTCCGTATCGTGCTTTGGGACTTGGGCGTATGCCCGGAATCGAATTCGGAAGTCCCTAGCTTCAATTATCGTAATTTGTTGAAAACTAGATGTTTAAAGGTTTAAAGAAATTTCAAGTTTGACTGTAGTTTGACTTTGTTGCTACCGGGTCAGGATTCTAGTTCCGGAACTTGGTATAAGTTCATTCCAGTATTCATGACTTGTCTGTAAAATTTAGATCAAAACGGAGTTGATTTGATGTGATTCGGACGTCCGATTGTAAAATTGAAAGTTCTTAAGTTTCTTTAAAAAGTTCATTCGTTTTGGTGTCTGATTCGTAGTTCTAGGTGTTATTTTGGTACTTTGATCGTGGGAGCGAGTTCGTATGATATTTTTTGACTTGTGTGCATGTTTGGTTTGGAGCTCAAGGGGCTTAGATGAGTTTCGTATAGGCTACGTGTGTTGTTGAACTTAGAAATTCTAGTTTTCTTAACTTCTGCTGGTTTCTCGTGCAGGCTTCTTAGCGATCTCGAAGATACACCCCCGATCGCGAAGAATAGTTGGGACTGGGGGTGAATTTACTCAATGCGAACGCGAGGCTTTGTCGGGAACGCGGAGCTGTGGGGGGACTGCCCTTGGCGAACGCGACAACACCATCGCGAATGCATAACATTAGAGAGGCGGGGGCTGGGAAATGAATTTACTTTACGCGAACGCGAGCCCAGGCTCGCGAACGCGAAGGCAAGGTGGGCTAAGCCTACGCGAACGCATAGAATATTTCGCGATCGCGTAATCCAATTGGGCAGTGCCCTTCGCGATCACGATAAACACCTGACGCCTAGTCATTTAAACTTCTAAAAAGTGGGATTTCACCCATTTTCACCATCTTTTTCTTAGAGCTCGGCCTAGAGGCGGTTTGGAGAAGAAATTTCATCACCCTTTCATAGGTTAGTGTACTTTAACTTATTTTATTTCATTTTCATTATCACCCATTAATTTCTAGCCTTAATCTTTGTTCTTCCATGGCAGAAAACTAGGGATTTGGGAAGAATTAGGTATTTTTGCAAATTCGGGATTTAGACCTCAATTAGGGGTCAAATTTCAAAGCAAATTACATAATCGGGCTCGGGGGTTAATTGGTAAATGGGTTTTGGTCCGAATCTCGATTTTTGATCAAGTGGGCACGGGTTTGACTTTTGTTGACTTTTTGGAAAAAATGTAAAAATCTTAACTTTATGTATTGTAATTAATTTTTCTAGCATTATTTGATGTTATTGAGTCGATTTTGGTTAGATTCGATTGATTTTGAGATGGATTCTAGAGGAAAGGCCCCGGTAGAGCTCTAAATTGACTGCAGAATGAGAACTTGATTTGAGTGAATTGGAACCCTTGAGCTATGTGCTATGCGAATTCCATTTGTAGCAGCGTATATGCGAGGTGACGAGTGTCTATACGCCGTCAATTACTTATTCTCATGTCTACCCTTATTTTATTAATTATATCATTTCATGTCTTGACTGTTACATGCTTTAATTGCTTCCTATGCTTTAAATTGCTACTTGTAATTTATTATTCTCGCATTTTAAATATTAATTTCTTCCATGTTTCTATGCTTAATTGATAATTGCCTTAATTGTCTTACATGTACCCTTTAACTGCCATATATTTTACTTGACTTGTTGCTCAGTGTTAATTGTAGCCTTTCATTATTTGGTACTAGATTCCTTCTTGATTTGTAGTTTTTATATTCGTTAATCGTAGAAATTCTTGTGATTCGAGTTGTTAAAGGGATTGCACTTGTTGATTTATTTATGGATCAGGTTGCACGCCACAACAGGTGGAATAAGGGTAGATTTATATTGATATAGTGGGATCAGGTTGCGCGCCATAACAGGTGAAATAAGGGTGGATTGATATAGTGAAATAAAGGATAATTATGTCATTTACTCTGATTATATAGTGGGATCGGGTTGCACGCCGCAACAGTTTATGTGATTTACATTCCTTGTTGTGTTGTGTTGGCTTCGGTGCTTTTGTATGAGGCTCTGAGGATTGGTATATCTGTGTTTACTGGTTTTCGAGGCTTGAGTTATTTTCATGAGTTAGCTGCCTTATTTTCCGTATTTTTCTTTCCTAACATTATTTTTGTACTACGTACAGGTTATTGTAAGTGGCCCGCCTTAGCCTCGTTAGACTTCGTCGAGGTTAGGCACGACACTTACAGAGTACATGGGGTCGGTTGTACTCATACTACACTCTGTACTTCTTGTGTAGATTTTGGAGTCGGTCCCAGCATCGATCCGTAGATTGCTCAGTTTGGCAATCAATACGGATACTTGAGGTACAGCTGCTCGCCGGCCCCCTAAAGTCCCCTTCTTCTTTATCTTAGCTGTGTATTTTCGTTTTCACACAGCTTTACTTTTATTCAAACATTTATTTGTACTATTCTAGTAGTTTGTGCACTTGTGACACCAGATTCGGAGATGTATTTACATATTTCAGTTGTTATGGTTTTCTGTACTTTATTTCGGTTCCATCTCAGTTATATTAGTAATTGGCATCATTTAAATTTGATTTGTTGAAAAAAGGCTTAAAATTAATCTAACGTAGGCTTGCCTAGCAAGTGAAATGTTAGGCGCCATCACGATCCCGGGGTGGAAATTTCGGGTCGTGACATAATTGTACTTTATTCGCACATTTCCCAATATTGCTTGATAAATTACTCGTTAGTGTATTCACAATGTCCATTAAATCCATGGACCTCTTGGTTTGAAGTTCGAACCTTAAGAATAATTAAAAATTTCCGGTAATGAGAGCTTCCCTTTTAATGGATCCTACGCAATACAAATTAGAATTAAGCAGACTGCGAGCATCGGATGTGAGGGGCAAAACTAAGGGTGCAAGGGGTTCAATAAAAACCTGTTCGTTGAAAAATAATATATTATGCAAATAGGATTTTTCTTTTTTTTTTTTTTTTACAGTTGTACTTCGAATCCTCTTGGTCTATGGAAATTATTATTTAAATTCTTGGCTTCGCGGATGTATATGAAATGGTTAACGTAAAGTTCTCCGGTAGAACGTAAAGTTCTCCTGTGTTACGAATTTGCTCAATTGGCATCAAACCACGAGTTTACAGAAAAGAGAAAATGGAAGGTTTGAGTACAGCAACTTCTTCCTTCCCACCCACTAAAATTAGCCCTGACTTACTAGAAATGGAAAGAATTTCCTTAATCACAGAAGAACCAGGAAAGAGCCAGTATAATAATAACAGAATAACAAACATGCAAATAAATACTTAGTTTACTGAAAAGAAAGTGTAGACCTGTTATTTGCAACATTCTGTATATGTAATGGAAACACAACTGCATCATTTTTTGACTTTAACTTTGACATACCGAAAGCGTTAAAATATTATATTATCATTACATGTAACTTTTTATAATAAGTATGATTAGTAATATGAAATGAGGTTAAGTTATAGCGTAAAAATGTCACATTATACTGCCAATGAATACAGTATAATTATAGCGTAAAAATTTCACATTTTTATAATAAGTATGATTAATAATATGAAATGCCGGTTAAATTATAACATTTTATATTTATATCTTGGGAAAATTAATTTTTTCATGCCGATTAATTGGTTGGATATTTTCGAAGTGAACAAACGCAAAGTTAGTGGTTGATTGGTAGGGGAAAAAAAGAAGAAGAGGAGGAAAATAAGGAAAGGAATGATTGAAACAAAGTGAGTTATTTTATTTTCCTCCCCCATCCTTGCTTTAATGTCTAATTGATCAACCTAGCTAGGAAGAAACAAGAAAGAAGGGAAGTGAAAGATGAAAGACTTTATGATTTTTTTCCTTCGGATAAGTTAAAGAAGGAGAATATTTAAAAAGAAAGAGAAGATGATTTACTAAAAGAAAAAGGTACAAGAATAATTTGAACTCTTAAGTCTTAGGATAAGTAGAGGCAGCCTTGATTCATCTACGTTCTCCTCGAAAAAGGAAAAAACTCTAAATTTCATTAAATTAATTAGAGCTGGGCCCAGCCTAATATCTTCTCTAATTTCCAAGAACCTCTCCCATCATTCATCCAGCAACATGAACTGTACTTACGATCAAACTATATTTACCCAGAGAAAACAAATCCAAAAAACAATTACCTTTAAGTAAATTCAAACAAAAACGATTAAACATAAAAGCTTTTGTTAAGTTTAGGTTAAAAAATCTAATGATTATGTCTTTTAAACTTATGGTCTTCTGTTTTCAGATTGAATGATAACGCTTATCGCTTAAGATTAGTCAGTAATAAACAACATATAGACACATCTCAACTTCATAATATTTGCTGTCTACAACCCCCGACCAAAACACTAACCCAAAGATCAGCGTCCATCTCGTCCTCTCCCGTTCAACCCCTACCCCTACTCCCTCCATTCTAAATTATGTGTCACTTTTCGTTTTCGAAATTTAAGTTAATGTGAATTTTGACCAATATATTAAATTTTTTATTATATTGACATGAGATGAATGGCAACTTATAGTGCATTTCGTGTACTTTTTAAATATCTAAATTTTAATTAGAAAATATTGAGTTGATCTAACTAAATTTCGCTTAGAAGATTAGTCAAATTGACTCTCGAAAAAGAAAAAGTGATACTTACTTAGGACGGAGGGAGTAATAAGAACAAAAAAAGAGCATCAAAATACTCAACCACGCGCACACAACAAAGCTCAATATATATATAAAGAGAGAGAGAACCATGGTACTCCTATAAGAGTAGAGTACTGAAATATTTATGTACATAATTAAGCAATATGATTCGTGACCTCATCAAGATGATAAATACATTAGGCAAGTTACAAGATTTATTTCATCACGGGTACTGCAAAGAACAAATATTTGTCCTATGCATGATCAGTACGTAGGGTCTCTTTCCAGCGAGCTAAATGTGTATTGGCCTCAATTCTCTTTTCATTATTCTGGGCTTAGCTGTACGTACGTAACTTCCATATATGTTCTTTTTACTAATATAATACTTAGGTTCAGGACGAAAATAGATCAAGAATATTTCTCATAACCTGTACCTGTGATGAAAGGCACTTGATATAATCAGCAGTTTCATCTAACAAGTTGTAGAAATTCATTACTTCACCACCTGGTACAAGCTTTCTCAGCTCATTTGTACATCCAAATCCAGTCTCTTCTCTAGGGTTTTCTTCGTCTACTCTTTTCTTCACCAGGGTTCGGGTCAGACCTCGGTTTCGGATCTTCCAAAGCAAGGCCCGACTCCAAGCCCGCTTTGACCCGACCGCAGAGGCCATAGAAGCATAAGCAGCAAGTTTTACCCTATGATATTGTTTCACCCTATTTGAATTGGGTTTTTTCTGCTTATTCAGTTTTTTAAGAGCACGAAGAAACCGATAAGCAAATCTAGTTTTGATCGAACGTCGGCTTAAACGCAAGTATCTTCTTGGAGTAGTAGCCATAGGAGCAAAATTTAGGGTTTATTTGAAATGGGAATGATTGAAAAAAAAACAAAACGGTCTTTTAATTTGGTGAAGATAAAAAGATATGCTTGTGAAACAAAGGGGGCCTCCCTTCTTGTTGTTGTTTGATCACAAGGACAAAAGAAAGCTATCAGTTTTCTGACTTAATTCTGACACACAAAATCTACTTATAACAAAAGAGATATATATAGAAGCAGGTGCGGACCTAGAGCATTCAATACGGGTTCCTGAGAACCAGTAACTCTAGCGTAGACATTATATTTATATTAAGAAATTCATAAAATATTTATAAATATTTAACTGACCCACTTATTATTGTATATTAATTTGAAATTATGGTAAGAACCCATAAACTTCAAATCCTGGATCCGCTTATGTATAGAGGGTGGTGGGGTGAGAGAAGGTATTATCAAGAACGAACGTGTGTGAAGGGAATATGAAGGAAAAATTGAATGAGGGGATCAAAATGGGAGGTGAGAAGAAGATGCGGAAGGGGACGGGCTTTTTGAGAATCTATCTTTAATGTGTGTTTTGTATTTAAAAAGAGAATATACGTGTTGTATACTACTTTACCCGTTTTAATTTATATGATGTAGTTTGAATAAACGAATTTAATAAAAAAATAAACATTTTTAAAAATTGTAATATCAAATATGCTAATATGAGATACTTGTAGTTACAAAATTAAAGCATACTACTAAGGGTAAAATATAAACTTACATTATTTTTAAAAATATAAAAGTATATCCTCTTTTAAAACAAACTAAAAATGAATGATCAAGAGAATTACGTGGTGTTGTTTCAGAAAATAAAATATTGTATTCCCAAATTAAATGAAAGATGATAAGAGTTTTACATTCATGTTCTTCATTTTTTTTCTTCAACAGTCATTTATATTATGTGATCGAGGTCCTAACAAATATGTCACTAGACGTAGTATAACGGAGGGTATTCTAAATGGAATATAATAATTTTCAATTACAGAATTGTATTTATTTTTTAGTGTAAATCAAGAAAGAATAGGTGAGTAACATTTTCAAGAGAATAAGATTATAAGAAGAGGATGCTTTAGAGTTTGCGTTTTGGAGGAGGGTAGGGCGGAAGAAGTGAATTGAGTAGTTTTCGTTTTTATATATATATATATATATATATATATATATATATATATTAAGTTTAAAAAAAGTACTCCCTCCGGTCCACAATAGTAACTAATTTGTTTTTTTTATTTTGGTCCAAAACAAGTGTCCATTTATATAATCAAGAAGCTGAGGGTCTTTCGGAAACAAGCTCTCTACTCCTTCGGGGTAGGGGTAAGGTCTGCCTACACACAACCCTCCCCAGACCCCACTAGTGGGATTTTATTGGGTCGTCGTCGTTGTTATTGTTGTTGTTATATAATCAAAAAAAAAGTTAATTTATTTTTTCAAAATTACCCTTATGTAAGTATCCCTAAAAAAATCATTTAGTCCTCATATTTGAGAAGAGAAGTAAGTGCTACTATAACTATGGTGCATCATTTAATGAAGGATAGTTTAGTCACACTAACTATTTTAGTCTAGAATTTAATATTTCCTTAATGAATACGCCCAAAGTAAATTAATCACTTATTGTGGACCAAGGGAGTATAAGCATAAACTTTCAATTCATGAATCTGCCTATAGAAAAAGAAGGGTAGGTTTGGAGGTGAAAAGGTGATGAGTTTAGGTGGGGCTGGATAAGTGCCAACCACCATATGATGGCACATGCTTCCATTACCCACTTGGATGGTGGCCCTACCTATATAGGATTTTCTTCCAAGTTTCATTATTGCCCAAACTCCTATATATTTCCCACTGCAATTCTGCTCGACCATATTTTCAGATTTGTCTCCTTTTTGTCCTTAAAGGAATTCACCATATAAAAGCGCCAAAGGTGGCGGCAGCTGCTCCGGCAATGGTAGCAGTGTCGTTGACCGTGGCCGCAACATTATTAGCAACGGTCGAACGAATCTACTAACTTTTGCTTAGATGTTATATTTGTTTTAGAAAATTTATTAATTAATGTAAATATGAGGGTAAATTAGATATGCTAAAATTAATGAGTTTTCATATATAAAATTTGGAAACAGTTAAAAAATAGTATCATATAAAATGAAACAGAATAGGAGAAGAGTGTGCTATTTTTAATTAACCTAAAAGCATTCTTTAGCTTTGGAATTGATTGAATTTTGACAAAGATTAGTATTCGAGAATGCCAGTTGAAAATGGAGGAACAATTCTTGACTTTTGATCAGGAATTTGTGGAAATTTTAGAGATTAACATGTTACTAATCATTGTTTTAAGTAAACACATCATCAGTAAAAGAAACTTGAGCTCCAAATGACGGCAGAAATACGGCACTGTAGCAAAACATTACCAACAACATATTCAAGTGTACTTTAATTTGTCAAATGAGCTTTGGGGACTCACATATAATTTACACGCGATACATACAAGAACGAACAAGAGAAGTGCAGCTTTTGTTTTATCAGTAGGTTATAAATAGTGAAAATATAGCAGCGCGATATTTATGTCATGAAAAATTCAAAAACTATACTGTGGTAGTTGAAAATTTATCCTTCGCGTTATATATTCAGGTCTTGGGGGAAGGAGGAGTACGTAGAGATTGAGAATTTCAGTATTTGAGAGTAGAACACCAATAAATTTATCTTGAAAATGAAGTTTTATACAGTTAATAGTAGAACTATGGTATTTCCGAAAAATAGTTACTCACACCTAAAGTTTATATTAAAGAGAATAATTTAATTAATCTTAGCATCAATAAATTGAATTAAAATAAGCATTAAGTAAAAAATATATATACGAAAGAGATATATGTGGTAAGATGGATAAGATCAAAGGAAAATATACAAATCTAGAAAGGCATGCGTTATGTAAGTTAATTATCATCGAAGAAGTTGCTCTTACTGTTTATTGAACTAAAGTAACAGTGTCTAAAAACTGAATGTTAATGTGAAATAGAGTATTAAAATAAAAAACAATATAAATAGAGGGACAAATATTGTAATTTTCCACAAAAAAATGATGTTTATTGAAATTCTTTTATTTAATGGCGTTATCTATGAAATGATTAAACAAAAATGATCTTATCACCCAGCTTAAGCGAAAGGGACGTGAAAATGAAGCATTTATGATGTCTAAACCAAACAGATTGAAATTGAGGGGTCGTTAGTTGCTACCCCTTTTAATTTCTCACACCATTGATAGGGTTAAACAAAAAATAAATAAAGTTAAAAGATGAGAGATTCTCATCGTCAAAAGGGGTTAGACAAATTTAGCATGGGCAAATCAATATTGATTATATATTGATATGATGGAATTATTGAGATGATAATTGAGAGCTTGCATTGTTTTGTGCCCTCACATCCCTAGCTAGCTAGTTGAGATTTCCTTTCATAACCACTTAAGAATAGTGATTTTACATCTTTTCTTTCTCCTTGAAAGGTTTAGCTGACCTAATTAGAGAATTTGGAGGTTTCCTTATTGCCTACTTGATAAGTTAAGGCCTCATTAGCACTGCCTCTCTCTAATTTAAACTAGCAAAACTACAAACAAGCTACATCTTCTACAATTTTATAAAAACGTGATCATATAAGGAAGAGGTGGATCCAGGATTTTAAATTTATAGGCTTAGGACTCAGGTTCTAACTATTGAACACATTATCTTGTTGAGTTCTAGGTTCATAGTTCAATAATTTCAGCAATTTCGGTGAATTTTACTCATATATATCTAGGCTAAAAAATTATGGATTCAAATGAAGTCATATACAAGAACTAGGGGTAAAGCCATTTGTGGCCAAGGATAGACAATTGAACACCCGAAAAATTATACAGTATATAAGGTAAAATGTTACTCCCTCTGTTCCAGTTTATGTGAACCTATTTCCTTTTTGGTCCGTTCCAAAAAGAATGACCCCTTTCTAAATTTGGTAGCAATTTAGCTTAAACTTACAATTATACCCTTAGTGAGAAGCTTTTATGACCATACAAATACTCTGGGCTCCTTTTTGACTTGTTTGGGACCACAAATTTCAAAAGTCTTCATTTTTTCTTAAATTCCGTGCCCAGTCAAACAGGTTCACATAAATTGGAACGGAGGGAGTACTTGTTATTGATAAAAAAATAAACTTTGAATATCCTTGCATAGCCCACTAACAAAGGGTGATCAAATTTTTAACATCCTTATTAAATTTTCTGGCTTCGCTACTGAGTCAAGGACCATCGATGTTTCACAGCCCGAGGACCATAAAGCTGTAGAATTTAGAGTTTTAGGGTTATCAGTAGCGTTTGGGTTCCTTAAAATAATGTGTGTTTTGATTAGGGTTTTTCTTTAGGGTGGGGGGAGGGGTGTGGAGGGAATTATGAGGAAAAATAAAAGGTTTTTATCCATGTTTAAAAAATAACAGATTTAGTTAAACATTAATTAAAACCATATTTTTATGTTCCTCTTTCATTTTCTTCAATGATGTCAAATTGTCGCTCCACTTCAAGTTGACTTGTAATCTGATTTGTTTCAATGATAATTTTTGTCCAACTGCCTAGATGAATTTAGATGAGATCCACAAATAGTGAAAAATCATACGGTCGACCTTAACTTATTTAGGATTGAAGCGTATTTGTAATTAACATATGTATTTAATTGTTATTGTTGTACAATTTTAAGCCATGTAGGAATGAACAGTTAACCAATTAATAGGATGCATGAAATGTTGGGTTTTTAAGGTATTTAATTAATATATTAAATACTTAAAAGAGGGTGAATGGGAAATGGAGGGAAATGAAATTTTTGAGTGAAATTTTAAGTTCCCCCTCCCTTGGCAAATGGGCATTGTCCCATATTGGAAGAGGAAGAGGTTTTTTATGGGTATATAAGCAATTGCTCTTCTTCTAGCTCTTAAAGAGTTGAGAAGAAGGCAAGCCTCGCGCCGTCGTCGTCGTCGCTCGCTCGGCTTCGGATTTGGATTTGGTCAAATGATTGATTGATTAACTTTTTGGACCAAATTTATTTGTTAATAGTAAAATATTAACAGAAATGTTATTAAATATTTGGTTAATAACAAAATATTAATATTAAATATTAATATTAAATCCAATCCGTTTTTCTGTTTTGGTAACATAAAAGTAACTACCCTCTTC